CGCCCTCTGGGCACAGATACAGCTGCTGCTCCTCGCCACAGCTGGGGTGGGACTTGGAAGTACCTCCATCCTGCAAAGCGGTGCTCCCCCGGCGCTCCTGCCCACCGCCATTCCAGCAGCCCTGACTAAAGGCCGCACGCTGCAGCCTCACCCAGCCAAGGAGCCGAGACTACAGCAGATCTGCAGCTACCCCCTTCAGAGCCATCCTAATTCCGACAGGCTTGCCGGCATGGTGGCAGGCAAGAGCACTGGGTGAGCCGCGCTTTGCAGGACAAAGCTGGCAGATCTATGCCGGCAGGCCCGTTGGCATCAGGACAGCTCCGAAGGAGGTAGCTGCGGGGGTGGGAGGCTTTCCAGCAGGTGCCGCCAGGCCTGCAAACACGGCACTGCCCCTCCGCTTTCCAACCCCGAAATTGCAGAGTAAAGTTGGACAGCCTTTGAGCGCCGCTTACAAGCTGCAGATCTGCTGTAGCCTCGGCCACCACACCCTTCCTTGGTAGGGCGAGGCTGGAGTGCACGGCCTTTAGTCTGGGCTGCTGGCATGACAGCAGGTGGGAGGGCTGGGGGAGCACCGCTTTGCAGGATGGAGGTACTTGCAAGTCCTGCCTCAGCTACGGTAAGGAGCAGTGACTGTGTCTGTGCCCAGGGGGCAAGAAGGAAACAGAGGAGCACGGTGGCTGGACTGCCTTCTTGCCCACTGGATTCAGGATTTTCCTTTGCAAGTTGGGGTGGGCCAGCCCCTCACTGTCTCCAGGGTTGCCCAGGGCCAAATGTACACACACCGCAGGCATGTCTATCTCCTCCTCCTCCTTTTCTTTTCAGTGTAGTTGCAACTGACTCCTTTCCCCAGGCTGCGCGCAGCTTCCGGAAGCGCCAATCAGCTGGAGCCCAGTGTGGATCCTGGGTGCTCAGCAGAGCCCTGGCAACACCACGGCTCCAGCTGGCTCTCCCACAGGTCTGTACTGCGTTATGGATGCAGTTATCTTGGAAAGAATACCAAACAATGGCTTGCCACTGTCTCCTCTCAAGATGTTTTACCTAACCTGTTTTATTTCCAAGCCCAAAGAAATCAACCAAGTTCTGCCACTTCCTCTACAGAGTTATTCACAAATGCCAATTCTTGAGTATGCATCTAATAGTATGTAAACAATAGAATAATCTATGCTATGTCATGGACCAAACTAACCTTGTTGAGGTCTGATAACATTTGAATATCCAGAAAACAATATGGTACACTTCATAAAGCCCATTTTAATAAACTCCTCTAACAACAAATCTCAGCTTTACCCATTCTTTATCCCAGATAGCTACACATTTAAAACAGGTGCGTAACCTGTTTTTAATAGCCTTACGCAGGCCAAATAAAGGAACAATTGCAGGATGCAATATAACAGCTACAGTTTTTACAAACCCAATAGATATCACTTTGAAATGAAAATATGATCTGCAAAAATAATTACAACAATGGAAAATATTTTTCTATCAAAAATATTGTCTGAAAATGAGAGCATCCTTAAGCTTGGATGGCCCCATGAGAAATACAGGCTGTCCTCAACTTACATTAGTTCACTTACTGACCGAAGTTACAAAATCACTGGGATAAGCGGCTTGTGATTTTCACACTTACGACCTTTGCAGCATCCACAAGGTCACATGAACAAAATTTGGAAGTTTGGCAACTGGTTCATACTTATTACCGTTGCTGTATTGGGTTCAGGTGATCCCATTTTGCTTTTGACAAGCAAACTCAATGGGGAAGCCAGATTCACTTAACAACTGTGTTACTAACTTAATAACAGAAATGATTCACTTAACAAATGTAGGAAGGTCGTAAAATGGGGCAAAACTCAATACATGTCTTACTTAGCGACCTAAATTTTGGGCTCAATTTTGGTCATAAATCAAGGACTATTTGTATTAAGTAAGAATTCCTTTCCAGGTAGAACTGAAAATGTAATCCTAAAACTGGAGTGCTTTGGTGTACTGTCCATATTCATATTTTATTGTGTGATTAATAGCAACACATAAATCATACAAAATTTGTTTTGGTTTATTACAATCAAAGATCAGCCAAAAATAATACAGTTCTGTACAAAATTCAAATTAAAACATAAATAAATGAACATCCTCAGTACAAATTAAACCCCTAACATCTTCTTGTGTAGTAAGCAAGGCAGCAAAATTTTGCAATCATGTAAAATTTCATCTTTCATATCAGTCAGTAGCAAAGGAGGCAGATAATATACAAGAATCAGCATAACACATGCTAAATGGGCCTACCTCTAATATGGGCAGCATATTAGGACATGGTTAACTAGTCCCATCTCTTCGGACCACATGGAGAAAGACATTCTGAAAAAGGAAGGCTTGTTTATCGGTCCTGTAAAATGCTGAAGGTATCACATCAAAACACACTAGTATGCATGCCTTCCTCTGTTTGGCTTGAGCAACTCAATGCAGACAGTTTGCCAGATTATAATCTTCTCTAAATTGCCAATGATTAATGATACTTTTGTAAGACTATCAGTCTGGACAGCAATGTCCCACAGGTACCGTTGAAAGTCTGATAGTAACAAAAGTTGGTAAGTGTAGGCCTATGATAACCATCTTCTACCCCACTTCATATAACCAACTTGGAAGGATAAAGCCAGACTGTTGATATTTCAATCTGAGTTAGTACTGTACGTAATTTTCACTAACTAAACCTGAGTATCCATTGTTAGCAATCCCAATCCTGATCTTAAGGCAACATTGCAAATACTCCTAGGGGCCCCCAAAACAGCATGCAAGAACCGAGTTTGAATTAATTGCAAAATTGTAGGTGTGCCCCATATAATACCCGAGAATTACTTTTCCATCAAATACTGGGATTATTGTCAATAATTTAAGATCACAGACTTTGCAAGGCCTCAGATTTAAACGTCTCGTAAATAGTCAATCAAGTTCATCTACTCCACTAGTTTTCTGTGGCATGCAGTCAGTTTTCCTATCATTCTGCAATTGTACACTATGGCATACCTCTGTGTACTCTACTTTTACAGATAAAACAATAGGGAAATTGTCATTATCCATCCTAATGCATACCTCAAAACCCTAAAATGCAATGGCCAAATTTATTAAATATAATCATACAGTTTAAGTTATTAGAACTGCACCTTGTCAGGTCCAAGCAATCAAAACCACCTGTGAGAAGGCCACATTATATAGTTTATTGTTGACCATCTATATTACAAGAATCTCGCCAAACAGTCTGACTTTTCTTGGGAAACAGCAATATAGACCTAAAGGTTTGATTTCAGATGTTTCCTCCACCAAACAGATTCTAAGCTGAAATGTCTCTTAACCCCCCTAGTGGGGGGGGTGTTCCTCCCTTTCAGCCCACAATTCCACACATCTTGAAACAGTATGTTGTTCTCTAGAATCTAGATGGTCACTTATAGAACCATTTAGGATTCCCATATCTAAGTTATATAGCATCATTCCCACCCAAGGCATTGTTGGCTCCCACTGTGTTGCTTTTCTGAAAGGTCCTGAAAACATGGTTTTGTCAGAGGGCCTAGACACCACCAATGGAGATGGTGTAGATCAAGTGCTTGATTTGATTGTGTTGTTGTAAGCTGCCCGGAGTCACCTGTGTGTGAGTTCGGCAGCTATATATGTTTGTTTAATAAATAAATAAATAACTTACCACTTAGACCAATAATAGTCCTTTCCAACTGAATTTGGTATCCTCAAAATAACGTGTCAGAAGAAACATTTCCTATTTCCTCAGGATTCGCTAAATTAAATTGGCGTAAAAAAAAGGGTAGCACAATTTGGCCCCATGCCCCATTATTGAAGTTGCCTTGTAAATAACACAAGCATGTGAAAACCTCAGTAAAATAACCAGTAAACTCTACACTGGCTAGGATTTAGCTTGATAACTAATTGGGGGGGGAGGGCATTGAAATATTTACTACCTATCTCCTTTAAGTTTAAAAGGCAGGATAAGACAAAAAGTTCACAGGGGAATAGCTTGTATATCTTCATATCTATATTTTAAGCAACAAAAGAACACACACACAGAGAGAGAGAGAGAGAGAGAGAGAGAAAAGATGCCTCCCTCTTCCTGTTCTTCTTTAGTGCTTCTTTAGCATTGGTATACAACACAGGTCATAAATCAATCCATATCTGCTTCATCACATAGCTTGTAATATCAGAACTTCAAAGGATTTAATGTAACTCAAGAATGGGACAATTATATACCGTATGTGTTTCCTGGAGAAAAAAAATTATAAAAATTGTTATCATTCTAAGTTGAAAGTGAGCATTGTTGCATAGAGTAGACTAGCTATTCCTAAGTGGATGCCGTCCAGGAGTGGTGCATTTTAAGAACCCACAGCCAGAGAGTAAGGATTATAGATGTTGTGGTCCATCACACCTAAACAGGACCAAGCTGAGAAAGATTGTGTTCCTACAAAAAGGTACTGAGTTGCAGAAAAAAACCAAAACAATAGCAGCTTTTCCTCAGAAAGGATAACCCCTGGAACATCATGCCCCTCAAAGTGAGATCTGCACCACGCCCACAGTTTTGGCCTTCCAAAAGGACCTGAAGACCTGGCTCTGCCAATTGGCTTGAGGCCCCAATGGGGGCATATCATTCTGGAGTTGGTTAATTGACTAAGACAAGACACCAGCTCTTCCCCGTGTGTATCTCGCTCCCTCCCTCCCTCCCCATCTTTGTCAATTTTAAATCAAATTTAATGTTACTATTTATTGTTTTAATGTTTTATATTGATGTTTCATTGATTGATTATAAGCCACCTACAGTCACCTTGATAGGTGGCAATAAACATTTAGCAGTTTTTGAATCTGATATACAGTGTGGCCACATGTAAAGCAGAGTGAATTAGTAATGTTAATTAAATTGAACTGCGATGTTAGTTATCTTCTAACCTGTAACTGCTAAGCTACTGAAAGACATTTTTGTTTCCTGTAGGCAAATTTTTGTACGTGGTGGCTTATCTTGTAGTTCCAGTCACAGAAGTGACATTTTCTTTATCATACACAGTGTATACGCATACACAGCCATGGGAACGCATAGCACTAGGAAGATTCCCTACAATTTCCCATTTATTACACTCAGGATCATATTTCTCAATGTTCTGCAGGTATGACCCTCTGGAAGAGGAATAGCCTCCTGTTACATAGATATATCCATTCATGACGACTGCGCTGCCTTCCATCCTTCTTTCTATCATATCAGCCTTTTGAGTCCACACATTTTGCTCTGGATCGTAACAATCTGTGATTGTCGTCTGACCGCCCACAAGATACAGCTTGTTTTCCAGTGCAGTGGAACATAATCCATATTCTACAGCAAAACAAATGAATTATTAACATTGTCCATTATATTCTGAAGAATTTAAAAAAGAAAGGAGGCCTACCAATTGACCGAAATAGAATCTTCATCTAAACATTCTAATACGGTTCTCTGCTGATTTCAAGAATTTTGGATTTAAATTATGATTTGTAGCCACATTTTGCTTAACTTTCTCCAGAAGCGGTGAATGCTCCAACACTGGAAGTTTTTAAGAAGAGACTGGACAGCCATTTGTCCGAAATGGTATAGGGTTTCCTGCCTGAGCAGGGGGTTGGACTAGATGACCTTCAAGGTCCCTTCCAACTTTACTATTATTATTATTATTATTATTATTATTATTATTATTATTATTATTATTATTATTATTATTATTATTATTATTATTATTATTATTATTATTAACTGAGATAAGGAAGTTTATCTATTTACTTATATACAGATATATTCTTCAGAAAAAGGGCTTCTTCAGCATCGTACAGGAAAGTCATGAATAACTTGTTATTGCAAAGAAGTTGAACATAATAATTAGTGAGGGCATAAAAAAATGAAACATCAGTACAAATACTACTAAGTAAAGAATAAAAAGGGAAATAAAAAACAAAAAAAGCAAGTTGGAAATCTACATCTATGATGATAATGAGAAATTCTACCAATTTAAATATCCATGTTTATTTACTCTGTTTCTATCCTGCCACATTCCAAGAACATGTAGTGATTTATAACATCATAACACATCCAAATGATAGAAAAGAAAAGAAAAATATAACAGATTATCAATATTATTAAAATATTAAAATAATCAACCTCAAAATCACAGAAATGTATGCAGCTTCCCAAATGACCTAAATCTTCACTTAAATTAAAAATTCTTCTAAACAGTTCTTCTGAATACTTAAAAAAGGGTATGATATGTTTCTTGGTGCTACAGCTGGAAGCACCAATTTCTAGCACTCCTGAATACTATGTGGGGGAGGAATTGTCAAGATATCTATATACAGAACTCATGAATTGAAAAAGTAGATTTCAGATGGAATGGAACTTCTGTAGGTTGCCAGGTCACAAGCCATATAAGGCTTTATTGGTCAAAACTAACACTTTGAACTATACTCAGAAGCCTTTCAGCATTATTGTATGGTTTGAAAAGCAAATTTCACATAATAATATGTGGATGGCTGCATTCTGTGTCTATGGGAACTTTTAGGTAGTCTTCAGAAGAGCCCCATGGAGAACACATTGCAGAAATCTAGACAAGGGATAATGAGGACACCAGTATCTGTCATCAGGATCTTTTTCTGCAGGATTTGCAACCAGTATATCAGCTAAATCTAGGCAGATTCCCCTTAAAAAACACCAGAAGGATGTCCCTTTCAGAATCATTTGCATGTTAGCAAGGAAGAAGACTTCAGGTCAATGGAGGACCCCCACAGAGGAACTATTGACTTTCTTAATAGCCAGGAGATGTTAATTTTTGAGGCCAGTTTTTAATTATTAATTTTAATATTAATCAAATTAATAATACTAATATTAAAGCCATGGGCTTTTGAAAGGGAAGGAAGTATGAGAGTCAAAACTAACAATGATCATGTCCACAGTACTGTATGCTAGTTTTTTTGTACAGGGGCCAAACTGATGTACAGTGGTTATACTTCCTTTTACAGAATAAGGAACAAAAAAGATGGGTTTTCCTATTTTAAGTGTAAGCCACCAGAGACATTCTGCAGTCAGAATGTCTTTTAAAGCTAATAAATAGTAAGTAGGTAAATAAATAAATAAATTGATTTACTAGAAGGGGGAAGAATTTTACTTCAGAATTTTGGATTTTTTTTGTTTTTTGGCTATTCTACGTGGAGGCTAGACAGCCATCTGTCCAGGATGCTTTAATTGAGTAAGAATTGGACTAATTACTTAAATGGCCTTTTTCAGCCCTATGACTCACATGTAAATACTTTCAATGGGAGAACAAGTGCACAGTATTTATTTAAGTTGTTTAGTAGAAGCAAAACTTACCTGGATACGAACTTGTGGCGATTATACTCCATTCATCCATATCTGAGTTGTACTGTTGTATTTTATCATAAGTGCAACTTCCCCGATAACCATAATGGCCTCCGGTGACATAGATGACTTCATTCAGGACACAAGCAGTGGCATTTCCAACACCTATTTAGTAATACTAAATTTGTAAAAGGCTTTAAAAAAATATTCAGCCAAATTTCCATCAACAGACTATTAATATGATACCTACACACAATTATAAGATAATACATGCACAAACGTGTCCATTATCCAACATGTCCACCCTTTAAGATAAGCAATATTGTGCAAAGCACAGCAAAAGGTTAAAAAATAGTAAACCAAAGAAATTAAACACATAGGAAAAGGAAAAAGAACTAATTTTAGTTTGCATGTACACAACTTCCCATATCTTTCTCTATTTGCCAACCAGCCTTATGTCCACTACATCCAAACACATTGTCATTTGTTCTTATACTAAACATTACCTATCTTCCAGCATTTGTGCATCCTAAGATGTTTCATTTTTAGTAAACATTCTACCATGGTATACTAATTTATCTATTTGCTCAGTTTTTTTGCCATATATAATTTGCAATTTTAGTGTCAAAGACACCTTATTCATTTTTGGATACATTATTTTTCAGATCCATACTTCTTGTTGCATTGCATAATCTATTTAATAATTGCTGCAAATAATGTGAGGTCTCGACCAAAAATACAGCATGATCTGCATACAAAGTACCCAAACTTTCATATCTCTAATATGTAATGCCTGCATTTCTTATACCTTTAGCCATATATGAAATACATTAATATACTGAACAGTGAAGGAGGCATCAATATATCCTTGTTTTACTTCCTGATTAATGATGAACTATTCCCTAAACATTCTGTTTATTCTCACACATGCTTTATAGGTATCCTCATTTAATGATTCTAACTGGGATCAGCAACTTCATCTCTAAGTGAAGCGATTCAGTAACATATCATGTGGCCATCAATCCGTTAGTGATGGCAGTTCCAATAATCCCAATTGGGGTTGTTAAGAGAAGAATCACCCACAGTCATTAAGTGAGACATTTGTGACCATGACTTGCAACCTCTTATTGGCTTTCTCATTGACTTTGTCACTGACTGACTGACTGACTCAAGGTCACTCACCTGGCTTTGTACCTAAGGGGAGAACTAGATCACACTGTCTCCCGCTTGCTGTCTTAACCACCACACTAAAGTGGCTCTTATGGGAGAGATATCATTATATTGATAAAAGCAATGATCATTTAAGCACAAAGCTACACTAAACATAACTGATATACGATTAAACATATTATTAAATGCAAGCATATTAACTTAGGCAAACAGGCAAATCTTAAGAAAGTGCCAGCCTCACCATTGGATGTGATTAACAGTGGAACTGGATGTGGTAATTGTATCCACATCCCTTAGAAAGGAGATAAAGACAGAGGTGAGATTTCTGAGGAGGGGAAGATAATAACTCCCTGGCTCCTGGTATATATTGTGGAAGAATTTAAGCAATTAATTAATGTTTTAGCATGGAGCTACTGAGCATAGTCAGAATATAAGTTGTTAGAGCTTATCTTTGTCTTTGGGTTTTTCTCTGTAACCAATCATATTTTTAGATGCCTGCATTTCTTGTTGCTTAATTATAAATATAACCTATTGACTTTGTATCAGAGTCTTGCCATGGGATGTTACTAAACATGTCCAGGTATGCTTAAGCTGGTTTTGTACACCTATCATAAAATATTTGGAGTCTGAATTATTCTTGTATGCTCCTTTGGTAGACAAACAAATGTTATTTTGAGAAGGGAGAGAAAACTTGTAAGTCAAAAAGTTCACATTTTCTCTAACAATTACACATTGCCTAGAATCATGATACGGATGGATGGATGGACGGACGACGATGGATGGATGATAGAGGCAGAATACAGAAAGACAAAGCAGTGAACTTTCACTTCCTGCTCTCCTTATAAGAAATACTTTTATTCCTTGAGAATGAACTACTGTAAAAATGCTGGAACTGTCTGCCTGACCATACTTAATGTGACATCCGTTTTCTGAGGTTGTTCACATCATTTTCAAAATGTCAAATGTGACCATGGATCCCAAATGATTGGGCCACCTATTCTAACCAGACCTTAATATTTTATTAGTACCTATCCAAATAGTTTCATTTAAAGATACATGCAGAACTGAATTAACAAGTTATGCAGCAAGCTGATTACCTTTAATCATGTTTGCAATTGGGAACCATTTCTTTCTTAAAGGATCATAGAATTCCGCTTCTTCAGTTGGAGCCCCTTTTCGATAACCTCCCAGAGTATAGATACAACCACTTAAGGTAACTGCACAGTGGTAGTATTTTGCATTAAGCATGGAGCAGCCTTCAGTCCATTCATCAGTTTCAAAATTGTATATCCACATTAAATCAAGGGCTTCTATATTGTCTGTTCTGTAACCTCCAGTCACGTAAATATTGGGTCCCAGGCTTGTGACTGCATAGCTTTCTCGTGTGTGATCTGGCATATCTGTTCCCTGGACCCAAACATTGTTTACTGAATCCCATATATGCACTTCAGACAAAGGGTGCCAGTAATAACCCCCAATCACATACATAATAGTGGTAGATCTTTTTGTAACTGCTCTTGGCTTGGGACTTAATACACTACGTATTAGAGATCTGATTTTATTTTCCTTTAACTGGTATTTCTTGTACAAGCTGAGGGCTGATTTCAAGTACATTTCATTTAAATCAATTTCAAGACACCTCAACAGATCATAAATGTATTCGATCCTGCTGTCCACATCATAGGCAATCCATTTGGCAATGGGCTCTGTCATTTCTTCTTCTTTCCATATATCAAGCTTCTTTCTGGAGAGAATGAACTGGAGTTTCTTGTTGCTAATCTCTAGAAATTCTTCTCGTCTCCACACTTCTTCAAATCTGGACAATATTATCCTTCTGGATTCCTTCTCCAGCTCTGAGCAGACGTGGAATTCTGCAAAGGCGTGCATTCCTAAACAATTGTCAAGGTCTAAATGTCTGATCAGAAACTGCTCACAGGCTTTTTTGACAGAAGTGAACTGAAGATGATCAGCAGCTTGAAGGAGGCTTTGAACATTTTGTTTTGTTATCTGGATCTCTGATGTGTACGTGTACATCACCAGGGATTCTAGTATTGCAGGACTGAACAAAGAAAGATAAATCTGATCCTTTGACTTTTCTTTCATGTCAGAGGTAAACATGGCTTTGAAATAGTTGCTACAAGCAGCTAGTACAGCTTTATGGCAATGGAATAGCACATCGGGAGCACACTGAAGGGTAATATCAGTGAATAACCCTTCGAGATAGAACGTCCTGAACGCATCCAAAAACTCTATAGGATGAGAGAGGTCTTTGTATCTATAGGTATAGTCCCCCTGCTCAGTCAGTGCCATCGCTGGAATAAAATATCAGAAACAACATGGCAGTGAGGTTCATGTACTCATTCCTATCAGTACCCATTCAGATATAAGACTTTCTGATTTTAATGGCAGAATCTTTTTGTAAATAATTTACCTCTTATGCTCACATAACGATAACAATTTAAAAAATGCAGCACATCAGATCAAGAAGCACATTGGGTAAAAAAGAAAATGCAAAGCCACCAACAGCAATATATTCCCTTAAAATAAAACCATCCAGAAATAATTTGTTTTAAGTTATTAAACAGTACTGGTCTCAGCTCTTCAAACGTCTTCACTGCCTCAAACAACTCTAACTTTCTTTCTTGCTCTCCCAAGCAGTACCTCATCTGCCCCAGAATTTGACGGCCAGCATCAAATGATCTTCCAATCAGGCTCACATTTTCAATGACTGGTCTCCATAACTTTCCTAAATGAAGCCTGCAGGACTGGAGAAAAGATCAGTCCTCTTATTTTTTTGATAATAAGAATTCTACACAGATCACATATGTGTATATCATATTTTACATGTACATGATCTATGCAGATTTCTTATTATAAACAATACACATTTACGTGAGCAATTTCTAATATAAGATTTTCTTTCAAACATTTTACCATACAAATTAATTCAATCTAAATTTTGGAAACCAAGACAGTGATCCTATTTAAATCCCTCTAAACAGAACAATAAGCAAATATAAATCCCACTTAGTTGGACCTATTAGTAAAATTGTTCATAATTTTGTTAAAACACACTATTATCAGATCAAGGAATGCCAAGAATGTAAAAACACTTTAATGTAGAGTTCCAGAAGAAAAGTGTATTTTCCATTTTTATCATTGTCATCCTATTTTATTTGCTCATTTTAATCACCATTATTCATTCCATTATTCTTTCACAAACCTGAAAGTAATATATAGCAATATAAGGGGTTCTAGTGCTACTATTTAAAATACACTATAAAAGGAGCTGTAAAACCAACAATTAATCAGGCAGGACTGTGAAAAGAACAAATTAACCCTTCTCTCCTATGTACATATTTAACTACGGTATGCATTTACCTAGGAGTAGATACCATGTAGTCCAGTCCAGTTTACTTTTAGACAAACAGGCACGTAATTATGCTGCTTCTGAGGAGTAACAATATATTCTCATGCATCTCAAAATTAAGCCCCGCTGACTTCAATAGCCTTATTTTCAGGAAAGGGGGGTATAAAACTAGATCATGCGGCACATCGCTAATCCCACCGGGGATTTATCGCAAGGCAAACACAATACTGTAGTTCAGGGCAATCTCTTTGTAGGCATTAGATATTTCTGAGAGCAGAAAAGCAACATTTGGAACTTTTAAGTATCCCAAAAGCGGCATGGACAGTAAATCGGCAGCGGTTAAGACCAAATGCCCTCAACCGATTTCTCTTGTCATTTCGCGGGGCGATGTTGCGTTGGGGAATAAAAAAAACCCGACGCGGTTATCCGAAACGATAAAGATTCCGTCTTTTAAAAAAGCCTTCTATGCAGCTGTGGTCGCCCGACCTAGCGAACCACCAAGTCGCCAGCCAGTTCTATGGCTCGGATCGAGCCCGCCCAAAAACTAGGGTTAACTGTAATAAAACTAACCACGGTTATCTTGCCCTGGGAATTGCGACCATCCGATTCAAAAAGAGTCCCAGTCAGCCGCAGGTCCTCCTTCTTCGGCGGCTGTCATTTAGGTCGACACATTCTCTGTATATGGTTTATCCAAAGTGCCGTTCGGCCACCCCGAATTTGCTAAAGACTCACCCACCTGCTCTCCAAACTGGGTGACAGGCAGAGGCAGAGCTGGGCTCGAACGAGGAAAGGAGCAGCTTTCAGAAATCTGAGCACAAAGGGGAGGGGGAAGGAGGAGGAGGAGGAGGACCTTGGCACTAAAAGGCGATGGCCCGAAGCGAAGCCCCCCACGGGCTAGGGTTGGTCGTGGGGCATTGTGGGAGCGCCTTCCTAGCCGCTCGGCACCCTTGTCGTGTTTTTTTTTTATGTCCCGCGCGTGGAAATGAAGGGGGGGGAACCTATTAAACGGGGCACCGGGGACCAGGAGGCGCAAAGCTCGTGTTCGTTTTGTTCCCCCCTCCTCCCCCCCCCAACTACTCCGTTCCCGCCCAACCCGGTCCGAATCGATGCGCGCTTTGGAACAAAAGAGAAAGCCTCGAGCGGGGGGGGGGCTTTCGAGCAGGTTGCAAACTTTGAGGGAAGCAGCTTCGCCGCGCGCCCGGCCCCTTTGCAAAGTCGGCTGCAATCCGCTTATTACTATTCAGAGAAGTGAGAGGAATAAAGAGGGTGCAAGAGGAACCCGCTAGGAAGTCCTCCGCCAGCCTTTCTGGGAGGGAAAGGGAGGGAAGGGCTCGGCGGTCCTTTTCTGCCCGGCTGCCCGGTTGACTATCTTTAGAAGAAATTCAGATTCGCTGCTGACCGGCTGTAGGCTATAGAAGGAACAGATGGAGAGCCGAGTTCCTATTTTGGTGTCTCAGCTGGCTCGCCTCGCCGCCTCCTCCTCCTCCTCAGGCCAGGCCCCTCTGCTCCCAACAAGGCCATGCTCAGCTTCTGCCGTTCAGCTCCCCTCCCTCTCGTCCCCAGAGAAACCTTTGCCTGCTGCTTCTGGGCCTCTGAGGCAAAAGGAAGGGTTGCCTTAAAAGCGTCTGTTGGGCTACGAATGGTGGCCGTTTTGCTTCCAGTATCTAAAGTGGAAACAATAGCTTTGCTTATCCAGCGCTCAGCGGGGGGGGTGGCCTGGGGAACACTCCTGGGGTATAAAATTGCTCCATCTCCTGTTCCTGCCCAGCAGCTCCCAGAGATGCTGCAGAAGCTGTGATAGCAACATGCTGGTTATAGAGCGTTTCTAAATAGTCTTTAGCCAGTTTGGGTAGGTAATGGTTAAGGCAGTGGTTCTCAACCTTTTTAATGCCGCGACCCCAACCAGTCGTAAGTCGAGGACTAAACCGGTCGTAAGTCGAGGACTACCCAACCGGTCATAAGTCGAGGATTTTCCCTGCCCGGGAGCACCATGCATGCGTGGTTCCGCCCCCTGCACTGGCCGAGGCATAGCTGGCAAGTGGCAGAGACGGAGCAGGCCGACCACCAGCTGGCCCAGCCCAAGGGAGGTAAGGCACCCGCCGGAAAAGGGGAAAAAAATGGCGGACAAAAAAAATGGCGGACAAAAAAATGGCGGACAGCCTTGCTTGGCGACCCCCATGAAATGGTCGATCGACCCCAAATGGGGTCCCAACCCACAGGTTGAGAACCACTGGGTTAAGGCATCAGACTAGAAACTGGGAGTTCTTGTCTTGTCTTCCCCACAGCCAGTTGCATGACCTTGGGCCAGTCACTCTCTCAGCTCTAAAAAGGAGGCAATGGCGAATCACTTCTGAAAAATCTTGCTGAGAAAAAGTCCAGGCAATGGCCTGGATCAAGACTGACTTGAAGCCATCACCACCCTTAATTGCTTCCTTCCTTGGTAAGTAGAGTCTGTCAACCAAGAATGAAGGGCATGATTCATTATTTTTCTGGTTTTCCTGTCCAAGGAAGACTAGACCAACACTCACCCACATCCTAGATGAATATATAGCCCTGATGAAATGTAAAAAATAAGCGGGAGAATGTAGTTTACAAAATTGAGTATATTGCTGAAAAGCCCTGTTTCTTGCCATTCTTTTCAGAAAAGACAATAATTGAAAAAATTACGAGCAACATATAGTATATATAATAGAAATTCACTTAGCAAATGTGGCATAGATTTGTTCCTTCAACATTGTAGGGACATTATTTTCCACAGAATCCATAATTTTGTTTAATTTTTGCTTTTTAATTATAGTAATAAAGAGAAAGAGCAGAGCACAAAGAAACTTTTTTCTCTTCTTTGTCATTGTATCTTCACCATCATCAGAATCTATAATTCTTGAAAAATTCCAAATACTAGGAATACTAGAAAGAACGTAAAGAATTAAATTTGGGACAAACCTATGGCAGCTTAAGACTTGTTTATCTATGACAGTGGTGGCGAACCTATGGCACGGGTGCCAGAGGCGACACTCAGAGCCCTCTCTGTGGGCACACGTGCCGTCATCCCAGTCCTAGGCCTTCAGCTGGGTTTTATAAAACCTTTTCGCTTTAGGCCTCCGCTGCCGTGTGCAAAAAAAAAAAAAAAAAGGTTCAATCAATCAGTCAATTTCAACTTCTCTCGGGGGGAAAAAAAAGATCTTGCAAAGTTGGAATTGATTGATTGAACTTTTTAGTTCCACCCAGTCTGCCTTTACCACAGCGGCCACGCCCAGCCAATGGGCCACACTCACCCAGCACTCCACGATGCATAAGTGGGTTTTGGGTTGCAGTTTGGGCACTCGGTCTCTAAAAGGTTCGCCATCACTGGTCTATGAAGATTCTCAGTCATCCAGGTCATGGTTGTCCCAAAAGTGCCTTTTGAAAAAGCACCTTTGGATTGAGACTTGTTTCAGGAATCTCAAAGAAATCATATAAAGCATCCAGAGAAACAATGATTTTTGGATTTTGTTCTATATAATACTGTTATATCAATTTCTTCTATTTTTTTTTCTGATCCTACTAGATCTAGCAAAGAGGGCATATTTCAGATCCCCTCTATTAAACAATGTCATCTTGTTGAAAACATAATGCCAGTGCCTACTTGTGGAACAGCATACTCAAGAGATCTGGTTGGTCTCAACCCTGTTAGCCCTTCATAAGGTTCTCAAGATCAGGCTGTTTCCTCAGACATTTGGGCCAGAAGGTTAGGGAAACACTGTTGCTGATATGAGTTTAAGATTAGAATGTATTATTTCCCTCAAGAGTTATTAGATATTACTTATAACTGTTGGTTTTTAACCTTTTACACCACCCAGGCACTGCTCTGAGATAGGGCAGCCAAATGAATTATTCAAATAATAAATAGCAGAACTCTGATAGTTCAGTTATAAATCCTGCCCAAGATGGATGCACAATG